TTTTTTACTTTGTCATCATGTGGTTAGTTGTTCTTAGTCAGTGTAGTACTTACTACTACGCCACTATTGTACTTTCTTTTTATTTATTTATTATTATTATTATTATTATTATTATTATTATTATTATTATTATTATTATTATTATTATTATTATTATTATTATTATTATTATTATTATTATTATTATTATTATTGAGCTTTTAGTAGAAGAAAACATATTCAGCTATATACTCCATTTAGAGCTCCTTTTATATTGAATCTTAAAAATGCTGTGGTACTAAATAAATTTCTAGGGAACTTCAAGCACAGAGCTTCAAAATTTAGAGTTCAATTCAGTCTTGTTAGTCTTCTTAGGCTACGAGCTTGGAAATGGCTTAAAACTAACCTTCTCAATCTTAAATTGAAAAATATATTCTTAAGAATAGGGAAAATTGATGTCTTTAACTTGAAACTCAATATTATTACAGCAACTCAGCACAAGCAACAGTTGCTGAGACACTTAGCCAACGTAAAACATTTTGGGCAAAATTTCCATGTATATAGCAGGTTTCCAAAAACCGGATAGGTGGAGTGAACCGGTCTTCTAATATCCGGTCCCCGTGGCGAATTGCCCATCTAGGTTGGCGAATAAGATTGATTCCCTAGTTGTGAGAATCAATCCATGAAAATAAAAATAAAAATTGTAAAATAAATAAAACGATATAATGGGAAGGAACCGAGTAATTCAGCTGATCCAAATCGCCTGGTTGATTCATTTGAGTCGGACTCATTCAGGGACCGATTCGAACTATGGAATTGTAATTTCTAATCCGGATGCGCAAATTTTGAATCAATGTTGTATACCATACACCATATTAATGTTCGTGTGTATATTAGGGAAAATACGATATATGTATGTATAAAGGTAGAATATGGAGGGGGCATTTTATCTCATTATTTTTATTTTCATGTTTAATTTCCTGGAATCTCTACATTTCTTTTATGTAAACCTCGTTTTTGTGATCTCTTTGCTTAAAAATCTATTTGATTTGTTAGTGATAAAGTTACCCCAAAAAATTCTGTCCATCTCTTATTTAGAATCTCTTATTATTCATCTGAATATTTGATTTAAACCATTATGGAGAAAAAAAATAGAAGAGAACAATAAAATAAAATAAAAATCCCATCACAAAAATAAGAAGTCCTATAATAGTATTTATCCTTTTTTTTAAAAAAAAAAGACAAGATAGGAATTAAGCAACTTTTAAAATGACATTAAATTCATTTAATATCTCTGTCATCTGCTCTTATAATTAGAGAATTTCACGAAGAAAAAGAGAGAAGTACCATTCATTTTATAGGATGGAATTTTCGTTGTAATTTACAAATTTAATTTAATAAGTTGTAATTTGCAATTTCAAGCAGCGTTTAAAAAATCGCCGAGTCGAACTGGACTCGCCCGGTTCGACTCGGATTTCGCGAAAATGGACCGGATCGTTTCAAGAATGAGAGAACCGGACGATTCCGCACAGTGACTCGCCGATTCACTGTGTGGAATCGGCGAGTCCGTGAAGAACACGGGTTGCACAGTGTTCTTCACGG